GGGCTTTGAAATATTAAACTAGCTCCACTAGGCATTGTGGGATGGCTGTAGGTGGACCCCACTGAGCCAGTGGAGAAGACCTGACCCTGTATGCTAGAATGGAGGGCCTTACCAAGGAAAGAAACACATGGAAAACAGTAGTGTTCACAAACCCCATACTTTAGAGCAGTTGCTGTTCGATCCTCCCATTTCTGATGTTTTCCTCCTCTGCTGTTATACCACTTAATTTCCAGTAGGCTCTGATCTCAAATTCTTCTTTTGCATTTTCGACTGGAATACTACAGCATGTAAATGGTCCTTCTGTTTGAATTATGGTGCTCTACTGCAAGGGACAGATTTGTCCCCAGGAGAGGAAAATGCTGTCCATGTGGGGAATTCCTCATTAGATATGGTTTGTGGATTAGCTCTAACAGAAGGGACCCACTTAGAGAGGGGGGAAAAGCAGTTTGTTAGTTCAACAGGCTGCTGCTTGTTGAGTGCCTGGTACCAGAGCACTTGGTGTCTTGTGCCATGGTCACTGGCCCCACTTTCTAAGTGTTCACTTCTTACTAGGATTCTTATTTTTAAAACCACCCAAGAGCAGCCAGCAAATTATCTACGGATGAAGTGATAATTCTCAAGAAAAGGAGAGGGAAGTTGGAGGGAACAGAAAAAAGTCAGTGGATCCTCTTTGAGGGTGAAGGGGAGTGGCTTTGAGAAGGGCGAGGCTTTTTGTCAAGTTGCATTAGCAGATTCGCCTGCCTGAGCTGAAGTCTTGCTTGTGCAGTCAAAGGTATGTATGATGGTTAGACATTGTTTTCTCTTATTCAGGGTCTCTCTCTCTTTTTTACGAGTATCTGGTTTTGTAAATGCTAGGGTGCTGAAAGGGAAGCGACAGGTAGTGTGGGGAAGTGGGAGTGAGGCGCTAAGCCCCATGTGGAGCAAAAGGGTGCAGAACTAGTAGGGAGGGGAGGTTGTTATATTTGACAGAAAGGGCTGTGCAGACCTTGCTTCCTACCAAGCAAGTTTGCAGATGGAAATTTTTCCTTTGGCTTCCTGCAATTTTGCTGAAGTGTCACACACTGTTAGTCTAAAAAAAGAAACACCCAGAAGCTCACAGTAATATTTATTTGGTAAAAGCTTCAAATGTTGTGTTGCACCCCCCCCCCCCCCTTTCCAAAATGTGCCGCAGCGTTGTGTCAAGTCTTGGTTTTATTCAGCGAGTTATTTGGTTATTGGATATAAGATTTATTATTGTGTAAATGGAGGTCAGTTAGACCCAAACTAGGATACATATGCCAAATGGCAGGCTTGAGCTAAGAGCAAAGTAGACCCCAGTCTGTTCCCCAGATTGGTGGGGAAGGATATGTTAGGTCAGCTAAGCTCTTTTTTAATCCTATTTACACTGTGTAATTTAGACCGCATGTTAGCCTTGTAAAACTGGATTGTCGGCAGACCCGAGGAATTCTGTACAGAGCTGCCCAGTGTGCTGCTGCTGTGCTTGCAGGCTTGTGAAAGGGTTTTGCATGAAAAGCGTGTACTAAAGAGCAGCCCTCCCACATTTCCCCCTGGATAAAAAAGGATTGGGCTGAAGACTCTTTTCAACACAGATTAGGACTGAACCTACTCTGGAGAGAGACACGATCAGGGATGGGAGGGGAGCTTGGTTTCCACAGCATTTAGTTACCCAACCTCTGTGCTGGGACTGCCAGCAAGGAGTGGGGTGGCTAACTGTTCACATCTCAAAATGTATTACTACAAAGTTTCTCCTGGTGCACCAAGAACAGTGACTGAGCTTGCGTAAACCACCAAATAGGCAAGCTGATTTGGCTATTAATGTCTAGTTAAAATGGTCCCGTTGTTGGGCAGTTCCATAGCTGAAAACTATTCAGTAACCCAGACTGGAATGGGATATAGGTAGCTGGGGTCATCTGTTCTGTCTGGAAAGAGGGCACTTGCAAGAGACTATTAAGATAGCCTCTGAACGAGTGTCTCTGTTGCATGCCTTAGTGACTGTCCCCAAGCTTACGCTACCGCTGTTGGAGTTGCGGTGTTTGGACCATCAGTAAATGAGCGGGCTGTGACCTGGGAGCACACAGAGCGTCTGTGATGAGGCTGCCGTGGAGTTCGTTGGGTGGTTTAGGCCTGTGGAGGTTCGTGCACAGACTTTGCAAAACCGAGAAGGCAGCTCTGCTCACACCTCCACGAGAATGTTGCACCACGGCTGCTAGGGAATCTGCCGTTTCGTGGCTGAACAAGGACTCTCAATGTCAGGTGGAGCCACGTTGCACTTGGATTGCGTGAGCAGCCTGAGAGGCTGGCACAGAAGTACTTCAGAAGGTGTGTTTTGTTCAAGGAAAGGGCTAAGGGGTCTTTTATGTTAGCACTGGGGTCCTAGCTGCACCAGCAGAACCTGAGCCACCAGTGGCTCCTCCTGGTTGCACAGCTTCTTTCCATCGCCGTGAAATACAGGAGAAACTTTCTCCAGTTAGCACTAGAGGTTTTTTAAAATTGTATCCAAGCCGCCTCCTCCCTGCGGCATGAAGTTATGCCTGCCTTTTGCATGTGTTTGTTTCTCCCCCTCGTCTGATTGGCATCACTAGAACACATGTAATACTATGGCAATGAAAGCCTTCAAATGTGGGTGTCCAGGTACTGCTGCTAAGGTTGGATTAGAGAAAGAAGGCAGTACCTTCCAAAATGCAACTTGATGTATTGACCAGAAAGGTTTTCCTAGTCTCTCTTCCTCTCATTCTACTTCCCTAACCATTGTTACAGTTGAGAGATCCATGGGTTTTTTTCTCACATGAGAAATGTTTTTGGTGCCTTTCCACCGTGATGACTCTGCTTATTTCTCAAACTCCTCGACTTCGTGCACGGTCCTGCTCAGAACAGCTCTAAATGACTGTGTTAAATACAAGGACTGCGGTCGGTGTAGAGTTCGTGTCCACAGACTTAAACCAACGTTGCAGTGGCTAGGAAGTTGCTTTGCAGATTTCCCTGAAAATTTGAGGTGGTATAAAGTAGACCAAATTCACCATTGCATTAAATAGGAATGCTGCACGGGCTGTGTCAATCCCTTTCTGTGTCACTCAACAAAACCCTCCATTTTAAAAATTTATCTGAAGCTGCTCTAGAGTATCCTGTCTGCCACAGTGGAGCGCTGCAGAGTCCAGGGGCCTCGCCACAGGATTTAGGTCAAGCTTGCTGCGGAGCACGCAGGACCTGGGGTACAGTCCCTTCTCCTGAAATACCTGAATGGCGTCTTGGCTGCTTCCCACGTCTGTTCCCAGTGCTCTTCTCACCATGTGCTTTGCTGGGTGACTTTCACGTGTTGGTGCTCAGAATACATATTGTCTCGTTTCATGCTGTGTGAACATTGCGTGTTTGGAGGACTGCTTTCTTTGTGTGTTTTTATTTATTTTTTTAAAGAAAAAAAACAAGCTGGTACTTCAGTGCGCCCAGCCCCTGCTTTTCTACATTCACACTGACAGTCATCTGATTGGTTTGAACCCTTGCACACTATCGCTGCCTGGCATTGCACAGCAGCGGTTATTGGAAAATTGGCTAGACAGTGTTCAGCACTTGGCCTGTGCAGTGCAAGCTGTGCTCCAGGGTTAACGCCACGGCGCGTTAAGTCGACACGGGAGAGGAGTGAATACACCAGCTGCCTCTTGCCAAACACAGCCAGGCGTGACGTTCCTTGTTTGCTAACTCACCCCAAAAAGGCGGAGGGAGCTGCCATTTTGTTCGGTGCTTGGTAAGCATGTTAAATGGCGGCAAAGAGGAAACATAGCCAGAATCTGGCTGATTGTGGTAAAGTTTTTGGCATGACAATTGATGGAAAAATCCTTTGCAGTTTTACTTTCTAGTGACTGCATGTTGTCTCTAGTTCTCAGCTTTCTGGGAGGAGGCTGGCCCTGCCACCTTTTGGCCTGAATTGGGAGCTCATGCATATGTTCACCAAGCAAGCTCCATGCACATGGGTGTTGTTGCTCAAGAAAAATATATGCCAGATTCCACAGAGGAAATGCCAGAGATAATCTATCCTCTCTCCACGTTTGGTTACTAATGGTGTGACATGTCTAACTTGCAGTCGTTACCAGAGAGTAGAGCTGAGCCCAGAGCTGTTGGCCTTCAGAGTACAGCCCGTTTGCTTGCAGGTGTTTACAGCCTAGTTTGCTTTTCACCACCAGATGATCATAACTATGATGCTGTAGCAGTTTTGCTATGTATGGAGTTAAAACAGGCAACCTAATAATCTGCCCTTGCTGCCTTTCCACACCCTCACTCAGTCTTCAGCTTGCCTACCTTGCAGATCTGTACCCTATTATAATTGTGTTCAAACAATTATTGTACGATGGGAAGCGTACTCATGTAAACAATACAAATCAGCGTGCAGATGTTCTTTGTATGGTGCAGGTCTTGGGGCTGACTGGTGTGAAGAAGCGCAGTGGAACAGTTTCATTGTTTTTGGATGCATTTTTCTGGATGCGCAGCAGAATCGTTGCATTGTCATACAGTGGCGAACAGCAAACTAGGTTTCAACAGCTGCAAAGAGAAATAAAATGTGCTAGAACACATGTAGCAAGCAGACCTTGGGCTGTCTCTTATCTCTGTAAACACTGGTACAGGGCAAATGCATCACATTGTGAATAGAAAACCTGGAGAGAGGAATTGCTTTGTCTAAGTGTGAGGGAGGTTAAAGGGATTTTACATCAGATTCTTTTTGTTGGCAATGCTGTGTGTTTTTAATACAGTCCTCAGTTGTTTTGTTTCATAGTGATTATGCCATTTTGATTTTTCTTTTGCTCTGTTAACAAAGTGCATCATGCAGTAAATATTGCTTTGCTAGGGCTTTCTGATGGAGCTGATATTCCTGTTTGTGATGTTAGTGATCCTCAAATAATAAATAACCTGTGGGAGAGCTGCATGTTATGTTTTGTTGTCATCTCTGTGAAGCTGTATATGCCTAAGACTTGTCCGATCCTTTGCTAACGGACGTCTGTCCTTTCTTCTAGGACTGAATTTGCCCTAAAAGAAATCATGTCATCAGGAGGAGCTGAAGATGATATTCCTCAGGCAGAGAGGAAAACAGTCACAGACTTTTGTTATCTGCTGGATAAATCTAAACAGCTCTTCAACGGCTTAAGGTTAGTGAGTTTATGACCAACACACACATGAACAGCAAATTAACCTCTTTTTCTCTTTACGGACAGCATTGTTACCCGGACTTTAGTGTCTGAAGAATTCTGATGTTTGTAGCGAGCGAGTTCAGAGTGCTGTAAGTGAAAGAAACAAAACCCCCAGGGAAACAGAGAATTTTTTTAAACCAAAACCCAAAGTGTAAGTAGGGTAAGAAAAGGGCCATGTGATTTTGAAGTATAGAAGCAGAGAGCATTTTGTCAGTCCTTCTTATCATGACTTGGTTTTTATAAGGAATCTTTTCCAAATGTCTGTATGTGGGTGCAGGAGGGAAACTCTTACTTCCAGACTTAACTGTTGCAAGTTCCTTTGCAGAAATTATCATGTTTGTTTCAGTTTCTTTTGCATTGCCAGGAATGGAAAAGACCGAGGCTTTGTGGGCTGAGGTGGGATTCTACTCTTGTGTGTGTATAACAACTGCCTTTCGTGGCTTGGCTTTATGAATGAAATTATACCTGGGAGAAGAAAGGTTGCTCCTCTTTCTCCTGATCTTACCCTTTATCTTCAGGGACACTACTTTGTTTCATTCCCTCGACTTTCTTACATCAGTGAAGTATAAAGATATTGGGGGTGTGGTCTACTGTAGATTTATTGCATTATGACAATTTTTTACCTACAACTTTGTTGTAATACTTTTCTAGTATTTCCCTGAAGGTAAGGGTATCCTGTACATTGCCAGCTGTGTGGTTGCAGAACAACAAATGATTAATTTGGGAGGCTTAAAGATGCTTGCTATGTAAGAAGTCACTAGGCTGCATGGAACATACTGACATGCACCCAGGAGTTTTTTCTTGGGGGCAGAGGCTTGGGAAGGGCCATGGGTTGCTGTTGGAGTTTGGGAGCTGTTGGGCACTGAAGAACTGCAGTCTGTCGAGGTGGAATCGAGTGCTTGTTCCCTATTCAGCTCTAGGAGAGAGCGTTATTTTGGGAGGGAGCAGAGGGACTGGGTCTACGGTCCATGGGGATCTTGGCCTTAGTGTGAGCATGAGCTGAGCAGGAAGAGGACAGGGCACAGGGATAGATTCACACCTATTCACATGACAAGGAAAGGAGTGACTGCTCACACCACTGCTCTTTCCAGCACTGAAACCCACTTCCAGGTTGCACCTTGCTAACTGCAAAGCAGTGGCTTAAGATAAGGTGTCAGGGAACCAGGGTTCCCTTCCTGTCTGTGTAGACTTGTGCAGAGCGACATACTGTCTCATGCAACACTCCATTGCATGGTTCCCCCACCTCTAACAGAGCAAATGTGTGGCTCACCTGAGTATCCCAAGTGCCTAACAAATGTCTTTTAGCAACTCAGTATTTTAGATCAGGGGTTGGCAACTTCTTGCCAGTGCAGGCCACCCTTTGCGACCAGCCCTTCCCTGCAGGCTGCAAGTCCCTTGGAGCAGGCAGCTGTCTGCTCTTGATCTCACCACAGACCCCTTTCCCTTCTGCAGTAAGGGTAAGCACAGACACAGCAGAACATCAGACTGTGCAACAGAGGAAACAAACGGCATGGTGCAGCTCCATGATATGGATCCTCTGTGTTAGATCAAACCTTCACTGGCTGGTGTGGACTTCTCAGACTGGATCCAACCCATTGGTTGTAGGTTGCTGCCACCTGTTTTAGATACCTTTTATGATGACACAGAGGATAGTGATCACACAAGTTTGCCTCTGACATGGAAAAACAGGTTTTATTGCTTGTGTGTCAGGCCAACAGCAGCCACTAGAGGAGATGGACTTAGGCAGCAGAGAGCCCCGAGGGGTAACTGCAGTCAGCAGCTCTGCTAAGAGAAGTCAAAATGGAGAAGTCAGTAGTGTTAACCTTGAACCCTCTCAGTTGGAGTCTGCCGTGCAGGGCTCTGAATACCTGCAATACTAGTTATGCTTCCACTCTCTGGAAGATTGGTATCTCAGCTGCTTCAAAGTACGGGAAGTGCAAACCCCAGGACAGCAGTAAGATCTGCTCAGCTTTCATATGTTTTTGGCTAATATTTCAGAAGGGGTGTGTCGAGTTTGACAACAAGTTGAGTGAGCTTTATGGGATTGTAGGTTCCCTCCGATAGAGGGCAGTGTGAGAGCAGCACACTAGTCATGTCATGGAGCATTTTAACAGCCTTCTTACAAGACTGCTGTTGGATGTGTGGTTTCACCTACAAAGAAAATAACTCTGAAGGTATGTTTTAAGAGCAGTTAATATACTGAAAAAACTGCAAAACGAATTAAACTAAATGAAAGTAGAAATAGAACTGATCACTATCTAGTTTCACATGAATTCAGCTCCAGCTTTATTCTACAGCTATAACACATGCTCAGTGATTTCCTTCTTTAAAAGACTTTATAAGTGTTACCTTTACAAAACAGCAGGGAGGTAAGAACACAAATGCCATTACTCTTGTTTTACCATTCGAGAAACCAAGGTACAGAGAGGTGAAGGTTAAACCAGAAGTCTGCAAAGCTAGGATAAAATTCCTATTCCTGTGTTCATGCCCTTGGCATTCCAGAGAGGCAGTAGGGTCCAGCACCCACAACACACTGCAAAAATGCACTTGTTAGATTCTGGGAACATACACATACAGCACTGTATGAAGTTCTTTCCAACACACTTATTGGTACTGTTTCAAGGGGTAACATGCCAAAGCAGGTTTGTCATACTTCACTGTGATGCTTCTTACTGTAATTTTGAGGGGTGCAGGCATGCCCTTGGCTTCCTGGTGAGACCAGATCCTTTGATCCAACTGCAAAGGATTGTGGAATACAGTGGCTTGCCAAGATGATTTCAGCATTATCCTGGTTATGGAATCGTCATATGCTGAGAAGCACTGCATGAGACTGTTAACACCTCTCTGCTTCTAAGCAGAGCAACTCTCAGCTTCCCTCTGTTTCCAGACTTGAGAGCATGTTGCAAAGGGCCATCTGTGTCTGAAGGTTTTAATTAAAAACAGAGTGGATTGTCTTTACTGCACCTGAAGGAAGGTATGTTTTTTGTTTCCTGTGTATCTGGTATTTGGCAGAGGCATGCTGTATTTAGAGGTCCAGCAAATCATTGCTTCAAACAGTAAATTACTGCCAGTCATTTTGGTGCCTGTAGGAAAGATGTAGAACATCTTCTGTCTTGCTGTTTCCTCTCTGTGCCTCAGTCTTCCTATCTGCACAGCAGCAATTAGATCAAAATGAGGTTAAGTGAAGCTTGGTTTTCAGAGGTGCAGGGTTATTGCTTGCTTCTAGAGGCTGCATAGGACAGAGCTAAAGGCATTTGAACAAGCTAATGTGTAAACAGCACTGGAAAAGGCCAAATCCCAAATTATCCAAAGCAGTTTGTACCAACATTTTGGAAGTTTTACAGCCTTGTCAAAGCTAATGAGAGGGGTAAGGTGGAGCTTCCAAGATTAGTGGCTTGAGCTCATACAGTGACATAGGCATCCTGCTTAGTGCAGGATATTCCCTCTAGGCTAATATTTGTCATTTCAAGTGTCTTGTTCCTTATTCTCTTTGTAGAATCCCTTGAGCTTCACTATTAACAGCCAGTCTCTCTCCCTGGCAATTCATCCTCTTGCTGGTCTCTGAGTAATGCTGTGTTTAGGCCTGTACGGCCTGCTGATATTCAAACACAGATGGTGAGCAAAGATGTTCTCTTCCCTTTTTCTGTAAACTATTGATGATCTTCTCAATTTGCTTTAGAAGCTGGAGTACCAAACCCAAAACAAACAGCCTGTGCTCCAAAAGCTAAATGACAAAGCAAACAGGAAGCAGAAAGGCAAGAGTGCCTTTTGACCTTCTGCAGGACTCTTTGGAAGTAGGGTCTAGTAGCAAGACCATGAGAACTTGAATCTGAGTGGTCTCAGAGGACTTCTGACACCATATGTGCCATCCATCCTCTTGTGTTTTTGGTCATATGCTGTTTAGGACTGTGTCCCCAAGACCCTGTAGAGAATGAAGCAGTACTGCTTATGTTTGGATTCTTGATGTCCAAGCCTGAGACCACAGATGCTGTATGGGATCTGCCTGAGGGTCTTTAAATGTCTGTCTGTCCTCTCTGAAAAAGCCTTTGTAGTTGTATGGTGTGTCAGATAACCTGCTGATACATACAGATGCTGGATTTCTGCGTTGTCTGTCTGGTATTCTGGGAAAGAGAATCCCTGTTATCTGGAAAGTAATGGAAAAATACCAGTGGATATGTGGAGTAAATGTAAGTGGTGCCAGACTCGCTGTGTCTCAGAGTGATCATTGGCCATGTTTCAGTGTCATGGCATGGGCCTGTCTGTCCGGTAATATAACCTGATGTGACCAGTGCAATCTCTTCTTTCAGTGAAATATAGCTGCTTTTTCACCCACAGCATTTCTGAGAGCTGTAATTCCTACCAGTGGAGCAACGTGTGTAAAGACATTGTGATTTCCTCAGCTAATACTTGTCCTCCTCTGGCTCATCTGCCAATGTTTGGTAGGGCCTGACTCCTAGTTTCAGCACTCGCTTCCTCCTGTAGAATAATACATACAATGGCACATACTGTCAAACTGGGCAGGCATGCATAAGATTTCCCTGCCCACACAGCGGTTCTTGCCGGGGTGCAGAAATGGGAGGGCACCTCTTCTGGGCACTTGAGCTTCTCAGAACTGAGCCTATGGATGTATTGGCAGCTGCTTAGCTGTTCCTGCTGCCAGAACTACAAGAGCTGAGCCTGCCACGTCTTTGTTTCAGTAGCATTTCCTTCCTTTCTTCCCAAGTCAGTTGCCAAATACAGCATCTGAGGAAAACACGTTGTAATCTGCCAAGGTTGCTGCTCCCAAATGCATTTCACGCTTGCCTCCCCAGTGGGGCTGCCCCTTTCTGACCATCTTAAAGTATGGAGTGAGAGGGTCATGTTTCCAGGACTTTCCTGCTCTTATTAAAAAGCCAACACTACATTTAGAACTAAAGTAATTGCATGTGTCTGCCATTTTTCCCTTTGCTTTCCTTTATTTTGAAACAATGCATAGTGCGTTCCATCTCCTATGCTAAAAAGCCGTAGCCATGGCACTGTCACCAGCCTCTGCTTTGCTTCTGCTATTCACATGTTAAGTGGTGTTGTGTGTAATGCTGTAGAAAGAAGAGGATGCTTCCAAAGGCGTTTGCAGTCGAGATGCACTGTCCTGCTGCTCACCAAGAGGGCTGTCAGAACCATGTCTACTCTGTTTCACGGGAAGAAATGGGAACACTTTCCTGCCAGACCTCAGCGAGCTGCAGCTGAGCTTTTTGATTTTGTCTGCTGTTGACTATTCTTGCTATTAATATTAAGCTCTCTCAAATTTCCTGGGCACTGTATAGACAAAGGAAAATGCAGTCCTTGTCGCTGAATTCTCTGTCTAACGAGAGTTGTGGCACAAAACACCGGAGTTACAACAGTGGGTGGAGGAAGTAGCAGGGTGGGTGGATAAGAGTTGCAGAACTATCATGTGGCTGTCATACACAAAACATGTTTTCAAGTGTGCACAATTCGGAAACCCACTACAATCCTGCTTTAAGAAGCGTCTCTGCCTCCGTTTGTTCTACTTCCTACTCCATTCCTACAATGCACTCTCCATTTTTCCTCCAGAGCTATCTAACTGCCCTCTGTCCTTGCACATCCCCTTGACAACCAGACCCTCCTCTCTACGTTGCCCCTGAAGTCATAGGTTAACAGGATTATTCAGGTTGCAATCCTATATCCTCTTTCAAATCTCTCTACCCTAATCACCTGCGGGAAGAAGCTGAGGACCCTCAGGCAGAGGGTTCTTTCCATACATTTGAAGTAAACTACAGGACAGGAACTGTGGGGAGATGATCCATGGTGGTTTAGAGATACTAGCACAGTGACTGTAAAGGGGTTTAGAGCCTAGAAAGCTACTAGTTGGGAAGCTTTCCTCCTGCCTCTTTGGGCATCTGCATGTTCATGAACAAGAAGGGACTAAGCCCCTTCCCCAGTCACTTCCCCAAAGCAGGAATTAATTTGAGGCTCCAGATGTTACACATCATTGCCGAAAGCTTCCCAGTTAAATCCAAGTGCAGCTCCTGCTCCTTGCATTGCTGCTAAAGACCTGCTAAAAGTCTCTGGATCTTTTCAGGTCTCCTCTTTTTGTTTCTGAGCCATGTCTGTGTGTGACAGTTTCTATCCGGTGCTGTCCAAAAAAAATATTCCTTAACTTGGCTGTAAGCCAGTGCAACTTTGGTTTCTGCCAGATACACTATGTATTTTCTCTCTACCTGGATTGTGCACTCCATCTGCTTGGGTGGGAAGGAGAAGCTGCCCAACAGCCCCACCGTTATACAAGAATGATAAGCTTTGCAATACTTTGGGACCATTCTTAGCAAATAGGGCTAGTTTACAGGCTTTAAATCCATAGGATTCAAAGGAGGGTGATTTAATAATTGTGCATTAAATGGTACTCCCCCC